CTTAACCTCCTCTATAGTTGGAAATATACATAGCTTCATGTTTTAATCAAAGCTCACCATATAAGGAACATTATTCAACAGCTCAAATTCAGTAGGATCCCCCTCTTGTGAGAATTGTTTGTGAAAGAACTCCACAGTAGCATTAGCCATAAATTCTTGAGTATCAATCCAATCACAATCTCCATTCTACATTCTTTTAAGTTGTAGCTTTTGTCTTTTTCCATTGACATGATTGTGAAAGAATCGTGTGTTTCTATCACCTTCTAATAACCAAGTCATGCCTGCCTTTTGTTTCAAGTATTGCTCTCCAATGCTCAAGTACTTTTTCAACTCAACTTCATCCTTTTGAAGTACTATCCTATTCTCAATTGTTGGTTCTTCCGCAAAAAACATATCCTTTACTCTCACAACATCTTCCCTAATTGCAAGTTTCTTGAAGATATCCCCATATGTCCCCTTACTCTATTGAGATAATTCAGACTTCACTCTTTTTAATTTCTGCTTGAACATAAGGAAAGGATCACCAATGAATCAGCCACCCAATTTGGCCTAACAACATCCTTAAATATTTCATGCTTGGTCTAGAAATTGAGGAAATTGAATGGCTTCACATAGTGTGTTGCTTCCTTAACTCACCAACAATGGTGCATGATCTGAGCCAGTTCTATTAAGATGCTCTACTTCAATGTTTGGAAACAAATTCTGGAAAGTCAAATTGATAAAAATCCTATCTAATCTCTTGAAGATACATTCTATGTTTGGTTTACCATTCCACCAAGTAAAAGGACTCCCTTTATAGCCAAGATCAAACAACCCACAAGAGTTCACACAAAAGAAAAAGTCTTCATATTTAGGTGGTTACACTGGCAAACCACCTATCTTCCCATCTTCATGAATCACCACATTAAAGTCACCCCCAACTAATCAAGGCAACTCTATATCACTAGCAAGATAGTATAAATTGTCCCACAATTCTAATCTCTCAAGTGTTGAACATTTGTCATACACAAAGGTCATCATGATGTGCTTTCCAATGTCTTGACGATATACTTTTATGGTCACCTGATGCTCACTATCAATTAATAATTTTCATTTAACCACAATATAAAAAAATTAAACAAATTTTACCATTAATATTTGCAAATGTAACTTCCATTCCTAGCCTCCTCTTATACCTCTGAATGTGCCTTGAGTTTTGACAAGGCTCCACAAGTGCAACAATGAAGAAATCATATTCTTTGTGCATATTGATCACTCTGTGAAAGGCCTGTTGGGTGTTAACAGATTTTGAATTCCATATCAATGTTTTAATCAACATTTTAGATATTGAGACTACCCTCTTAGGTAAAAATTTTGTAGGTTGGGGTACTTCTTTATTTTGACCTTGTTTCTTGCGCTTCTTACCACTCTTACCAGTAGCTCTAGATGACAAGTCTGTTTCCCTTGCTATTGCTTTGAAATTCCATGTTGTTAACTCATTATCACATTCTTCCTCTAATTTCTTGTGTTCTAGCATGGAATTTTGAATATCTACAAGAGCGATATTGTGTGTCACAATATCATGCACGACCTGAAGTGGTATCTTCAAAGGGATATTAAGCTGAATTTGCATTGGTTGCCTTGTTCCTGAAGCACAAGCCCATAAGAAGTGGCTCAATATCACATGTTACTTGTGGTACAATGGCATGCTCAATTTGATCTTGTGCCTTCTTATTTGTCTCATTTAACACCATAGAATTTTTCTCCTTAACTCCTAGTGTTCCTGCATCACCCTAAATTGAAGATAATAGGCAGTCCCCAGGCTAGGGTTTACTATAGCAACAAGTGCAAAATTTACTATTCCATTGAGATCAAAGGTCTTGCCAGCAGAAGTTTGATGATCTGACCTCATTGTATCTCTAGGGTTTAGTGTTTCATTGCTTTTCTCCTTGCTTGTAACTTCTCCAACCGCACCCTCAGTGATTCTATCTTCTTCAAGTGACCCATTACCTGCTCCAACTGGCTCTGTTGTGTGTTGCATCGTGGATCTTTGTAAATCCTCAACCCTAGTTTCTGGTATTCTAGGGTTTACTGTAGCTGGTATGTCAACACTGGCTAGTTGTTTTGTATATGAAGTGCTAGTTTAGTTGTTGTTGGCACTCTTATTAACATCATTATTGATCTCCAACTCCTCTACTTCATCACCCCATGATGCTCATCTATTACTTGTTGCTTCAGTAGCTTCCATTCTCTTTGAACTATCATCTATTGTTTTTTTAAGGCACCTCTTGGCATGATTGATTCATAGTAACAATTAGAACTTCACAAGTAGTCCCAAACCTTCTATCAACCCAATCAACTGTGCTTTCCTTGTTTATATTAATCCCCGTCCCAGTAGCATTAGAATTAGGGATTGTTTACAACCGCATTTTGAATCCAATGTCCACTAGGATTTGTAGAGTTTGTTGCTTCCTTCACGTTTGTTGTGGCCTCTTTTTGCACTATAAATTGCTCATGTTGCTCAACTACCACCATAGCATTATTGTTTTCCTCCTCTCCAACTAAAGCATCAAATAAATTCCTTGTTGCAACCACTTGATCCTTGCCCTTTCCATCTAAATTAACAAACTTTTTCCCAGTTGTTTCTTCAATTATATGACCTCTTTTGTCCCTTTAAATATTTATTTTTCCTTCTTTGAATCAGCATGTTGGTCCGGCAGAATCAATCTAAAGCATCTTTGGTTTGTGACAATTTTTGCCTTGTAGTAGTTGGTATATATTTCCCTTTAACCTTGCAACTAGTCAATACTTTAGTAGTAGCTGCAGCAGTACCAACTAATTCCTTCCATTTTCCTACATTAACCACTGCATCTTCCAACTGCCTAAGCTCAGGATTAACAATCCAGCACTCAACTCCTTATGATCTTATTTCTTGCAATTTCTACAATATTTAGGCATATAATCATACCTAATGTTAATCCACTTGAATTCTTCAGGTCCAGTATCATCCTCCTCCTCTACTATCTTGAACCTTTGAGAAAAATTTGATAACAAATTTACCTCCACCTTCACCTTCGCACAACTAGACCGTGTACCATTTTGAGTAGCCAAGTTCACATGTAAAGTCTTTCCAACTGCATTAGCCAACGAAAATATAAACTCCTTACCAAAAAAATTGGGAGGCAAATCTTGAAAGAATATTCGGGCTATTGCAATAGGAGTTTCTTCTTTAGGTTTTCACCATGGATTCCATTTTGTGCATCTCATCTTTCACATATCTCCTTGAACTTTCAAATAAAAAGCTGACTTGGATAATAACTGAATTTAATCTTCCATTAACAAAAGCTTAATGAGAACATGGTTGTCCGCAATTAAGCCAATCGAACAAGGACCCTTTAACTCGCATTGAATAGGGATAGCTTTTCCTAATTGTTGGATCACAGGCTTACCATATGAAAATTTGCCCAGGACCACCAGATGCAATCCTTGTTGAGCAATGGATTGACGTACTTCCTACTTCTTCCATCTAACAATTAGTTCTCCATATAGGTATTCCACTAGTTTTAGTGTTACGTGGGCTTTTGGTTGCATTGGGGCATTTATGCTTTGGGTTAAAGTAATTTCGCGTAATTCTGCAGTGGTTTAAGGTTTGTAGTATTTGTTTGGAGCTGTGGAGATGGTGTAGACGCCTGACCAACCTCATTTACAGGCTGGCCAGTGGCTGGAGAAGCCATGGGAAGGGAGCTCTTGCGAATCGCCACTAAATTGCCTCCCCAGGAGCTCTTAAGACGTCGGGTTTTTTGATTCATCACTTTATTCTTTGTGCTCTTCTTCCTTATTTTTTTTTTTTTTTTTTTTTTGAAATTTGCTATTTTTGATCTTAAATATTTAATTTGTTGTTTAGAAAGCAAACTTTTTTATTAGTGTGCAAATTTTATGAAACAAATTTAAGGGCCTCTCAATATAATTTTGTCTTAGGCTATGAGATCCGTTGAGCTGTCCCTGCTCAGTCAAAGGTCATGGAATGCCCTTTTGTCATTATACTCGTGATCATAATCAATTCCTATATATTACTTTTTGGAAGAGATAAAGGTCAAAACATGGATAGTGATTTAAGAAAGAACACTAGAAAATGGGTAAAATGAAAGTGCTGATAACTGTAGTAGCTTCACCAATATATCCGAAAAATTTATAGATAGTTGTTCAAAGAGAGGAACATTTTCTCCTAAGCATAAATGTACCAAAAGAAAATTCACAATTTCCTTCATGTTCAAGCCGACTTGAAATCTATTGGCACGACTTTAATTCTTCAAACTAATTCTATCTTTTTATTGCCACAATGGTATTGATGCTTACAGAAAACGTCTCTTTCTTCTTTTTAGTGGGTTTAGAATAGTCAAGCCATCAAATTTGGACTGTATATAGTACAGCTCTTCAAGCTTTTGCTGCTTTCAAGAGTAACTTAATCTGATAACAAAATTACATATGAACATATTATTAGTGCTCCATCTAGAAGACCATCACTTCAATTATGTACTATATTTGTCTAGTTTCTTGTCACCTTCCTTTTTTCTTGTGCAGATCTAGAAAGTCGATATTTGAGCCTTTAATTAACTAGCTCATGTTTTAAAGATGACCCTCTTCAGCTCATGTTCCCTGACTATACTTTTTTAAAATATACTATATCATAGAGTTAAAAGTTTAATTTATGATATGCTACAAAATGTAAAAGTTAAAATTTTGTTTAACGTATATAGGTCAAACTCTGTATCATATTGCAATGTCATGACATATATGATATGTCCAACGAAGTAAATAAGGAATGCGTGATTGGATAAAAGTAGAGAATATCTCAATTATTTATTTCTTAATTGTTTAGAGGGATGAACTTATTGTGTCATCCCAAACTTCACATAGCTTAAAATGGTGAAAGGCCTACCATTAATTACAGAAATTTCATTACTTTTGTTTATCCAATGGTGACGTTAGGATCAACTTGTGATCACCTCTCAGCAGAAATATCAAATAACTCTGTCCACTTAAAATTCACCATACATGTATTTCAATGCTCGAAATCTATTATACCTTTACTTTTGCTAATTTATTTGCATAGTTGAGAGAGAAAAACACCAACAGTTTGAGTAAACTCTGCTCTTTTTCTCTTCCTCTCCATCTCTTCTTGAACTTCTAACCTCACTCCAAACAGCATTGGCCTCTCATCTTGCTGACCTTCTTCTTCTTCCTCTGAATTTTCTGCTAACATGGCCACTATATCAATGAGTTCTTTGCATTTTTTATTTATTGTTGAGAGCTCAGAGCTTAGGACTCCATTCTCCATCTTGAGCCTTTTATTCTCATCAATAAGGCTATTGTACTCAGATGATGATGATGAAGTTGATGATGATGACCTTTGATCTTCATCTCTTTCTTTCTTATTGGCAGCATTAATGTTTTGTCCATGCTTATTAGTTTGTTGTTTTTTCGTCCATGCTTTTCTTCGACGAATATCACATAGTAAGTCCTTCTCTCCCTTGCGAAACATGTCGTTGCTGAACTCCCACTGACTTGTTGCAATTTTGCGAAAACCCTGTTCATCATATATAATTGATGAATCAAGGAATTGCAAGAACTATATTCAACAAAATACAAGGTTTCGGACTAAGAAATAATATCGGAATATGTTACGTTATTTTTCTCAAACATGGTGAGTTCATGAGGTGAAAAACTTAAAATTTTGATAATTGGGTCTAAAGATTTACTCCTTAATTATTCAAGCATTCACGAATCTAATTGTGAGAAAAATTTAATCTCTGAAAAATAACAAACTTTGTTAATCTTTATGTAAGATGAGATGAGAAATGAGATGACTTGTCACTATAGTTACAAGATATACTTTGTTGTCTTTCATGGACAATGAATGCTTGTTGCTATTGTTGTTCTTTAAATTAAGATAATCATAGAATCTAATGGTGAAACTACAATTATCATGCATATAAATTATAGTAATTGAAACGAGGACAACTAGGCAAGGATGACACGGACAAATTGAGAGGACAATTAGGGAAGTATCTTGTCTTGATAACCTACAACCCAGTGTTTTCTATTGTGAGATGCGCGTAACAATATCATTTCATTAATTTTTAACGAGAGAATAGATAAGACGATTAAAATAACTTTATAAATGATCTGATAGTATAAATAATCTGAGAGATTACAAGGGAAACATACATAGGTATTGAGCTGCCGGACAAAGCTGGAGAAGTTGCAGTGTTTGAAGAGCGTCGGAAGCAAATCTCTGGCGAATTCCGCCGGCTGCCGGACTATAAATGCCGTCCCATCGGCGTTCCAAGAAATGGCATCGTCTGTCGCCGGATCCTCCACCATCATGTAGGTTTTCAGCAGGAAAGGTGGCGTTGATGACTTCCTTACATACTCTAACAAAGTACTTTCACATTGGTCTAGTTCACCCATTCAAAAACTTTTAACCAAAGAAAAAAAAATTCCAAGAAAATTGCCTGGAAATGAAATTCTAGAGAATTAAATTCAACCCTTTTTTATTTTGTTTTTTCTTTAATATTTAGGTTTTCAAATGCTAAAAATAAAAGAAGAATACGGTGAATAATTATGATGAAATTAAATAGGGGTGGAGAAGAGAAGATTGGCAGTTAAGAACTCCCAACTCCAAACGTAGAAACCCAACACGACTCCGAAGTTCATGAGAAATGCAATTTGTTAATTTGTTTCCTTTCACAGTTATGTAAAGAGGAAGCAATATATGCTTGAAACACCTATGCCTTATGCTTACCTCTTCTTATATAGCTGTAGAGAAGGAGAACTATTAGAAGAATGCTTTATCTTTTCAAACAACAACTCTTTTCAAATATTGTTCCTTTGTTTGAAATTAGATATTACTATAGTCAAACATTTATAGAACAGTCTCATTTGTTTCGAATATTTTTAGATGTTATAGCAAGTTGATGTTATAGAGAATATATATTACAACATAACATAAAAATTGGTTCCGGAAAAGCTTGGCTTTTATAGTGAAGTATTGTTATATAGAGATGGTCTTATAAAGAGGTCTGACTGTACTATGTCCCACCATATTATCTGTCTTTTAGGATTTTTACACACTCTTGAAAAAAAGATCTAATTGTCTTAATCATAAGAATATTTATCTAAATTATTCTTTATTTCTCTCTTAAATATCCTACTTGTTAACAGTATGTTGGAGTAAAAGAAAATAGTGATAAGTGACATCTTATTTTTTCTTTTATACGTGAAATATTTTTAAAAACATTCAGCTGGTCAAAACGACAAATATTTATAGTACACGCTATTGTGATCTCTTGTTTTACAAAATACGTATGGATATATAGAATGAAATGTATAATATGTTAGGGCAAAGACATTAAGTTGCTTCTAGAGATTAGGTAATTAAGCTGATGAGGTTGTTTCAAATTAGGACAATATAATAATGTGTTGATCGTGTGCATCTTCTAGACGGCCTATGAATTAGTCTTCTTCTAGAGATCGTGTGTTTTATTCTTATATTGTTAGCGAAAGGTGGAATTTGGAGGCCATATCCCAGACAATTTTTTAAATGAAATTCAAGTATCACTTAGGGTGTGTTTGGTACGAAGGAAAATATTTTTTAATTTTTTTATTTGGTTGGCTTAAATGGTTTGAAAAATATTTTTCTCATAAACTCATTTTTTTCCAATTAAAGGAAAATGTTTTCCCTATCAAGACAATGAAAAATATTTTCCAGAACTATTTTTAAACATTTCCTACCCTATTCCCCACCCCCACCACCCACACCCAACCCACCCACCCCTTAAACCAACCTACGCGCCACCCCTGACCTCCCACCCTCATGCTAAATAAAAAAACTATGTAAAGTATGTTAGATCATATTTTAATGATGCAAATAATATACATGTGCAGGAAATCAAGTTTAAGAAGTAAAGAAGACTGCTGGAATGGTTCATGATGTACAAGAAAAGAAATCAATCAGCATGTGATCAGCAAATCTGGATTGGTCTCGTAAATCTGGGCGCAATCTAATCAACGAATCAATCAGCGATAACAATGATTAGCTGAGCTGGAAAAAATCAAATAAGCCTTGGACAAAGGCACGAATCATGGGCAGAATCACGGAAGACTAAAGGATACGAGGAGATTTGGGAAGCGACCACATTTGGAAGATCCAACAATCAAGGAGAAATCAAGTGAAGCAATCCTCTACTGAAGGAAAGCAATCAAGAGAAGCAACGGCTCATTCCTTATTCTTGGAAAGAATCAACTCTTTCCAAGGATCAAATCTCTTGGGTTGTCAAGCCTCTACCATCCATCAAAGTATTTATACACCCTTGTAAACCCTAGCTTAGACATACTTTGATCAAACCAAATCACTCTCTTCATTCTACTGCAAACAAGCATTGTAGTTCACTAAGATCTGTTGTGTAACAAGTCAGGGATAGAAAGAGAGCACACAACTGGTGAGGCATTGTATCAAAAATGAGTGCTAGAGAAACAAAGCGATATACACCACATTTGTACTCGGAGGAAACCCATTTACTAAAGAGAACTCCCTTGCAACCCAAGGGGACATGATTAGGATTCACATTAAATCCGAACCAGTATAAAAATTCCGGTATTTTTAATTCCTGCAATTATTTTCTGCATTTTACCTTTCGTTACCACATCTGCTAAATTATCATATTTAGTCAACTACTCAAGTTATAAGTCAACTTATAAGCAATTAATTTTAAGTATTTACAATTCACCCCTCTCCCCCCCTCTTGTACTTTCAATCGATATCAGAGCAAGGATCACATTTTACCTTTTGCTTAACAGCTTGTGAGAAAAGATCATGGCAAATCAAATTATCATAGGAGCTCTCTTTTAGGAAGGAACTTCACAAGTTAGACCACCTTACTTCAATTAACAACATTTCTCTCATTGGAAAGTACGAATGGAAATCTTTGCTAAAGCATACGATGTCAAAGTTTGGAGAGTCATTAAAAAGTGAAACTATCCCCTATCTGCTAGTACTCCACCATTTGTTGATCCTGATGATATAGATTCATACTCAAAGGAGCAACTAGAAGCAGTACAAGTGAATAACAAGGCACGAAATCTGCTTCACAATGCTATAAGTGGTGAAGAATACGAGAAAATATCGAGTTGCGATACAACCAAAGAGATATGGGATAAACTTGAGGTCACCTATGAGGGAACCAGCAAAGTAAAGAAAACTCACATCAACATGCTAGTTCATGACTACGAACTCTTCTCAATGAAAGAAGGAAAATCCATTGAAGAAATATTTGCCAGGTTTAGTAAAATAATTAGTGACTTAAAAGCATTTGGAAAGCCCTACACCAGTGGTGATCAAGTCAGAAAAATTCTCAGAAGTCTGCCAGCCACTTGGCAGACCAAAGTAGTCATACTGGAATCTCAAGACCTAAACAAATTGTCCTATGAAGAACTGCGAGGAGAACTCATTGTTTTCGAAAGGACGCATTTGAAAAAGACAAATCAATAAGAGAAAAAGAAAATAGTTGCATTCAAAACCTCTACCGAAATGGCTGAAAATGAAATGGATGATCCTGATGCTCTACAAGAAGAGATTGCTATGATGTCTAGAAATATGGATGGGCTGATCAGAAGATACAGAAACATAAAGAAAGGAAGATTCCCACCAAGACGATCCAGGCAATAAAATGAACAGGATAAGAACGATGCTACGAATGTGGAAAATTTGGGCACATTCAAGTTGAATGCCAAGAACTGAAAAGGAAGATCTCTAGAGGCTTCAACAAGAACAAATCCTTCGGAAGCTGGAGCGATGAGGACGACTCAGACCATGAAGAAATAGAAAATATTTGTTTCATGACAATTCTGGAAAATGAAATAAACAAAACCTCAGGATGCTGGACAGATGAAGATGATTCAGATGACGAGAACTGTTTCATGGCACGGGGTGAAACTAGTGAGGTAAGATCTTATGACTGCGAAAGATGTAATGAATTGCAGGACTTGATTCCACCTTAAAAGAGTCTCAAAGAATGATGAATGAACTTAAGAGACTCACTAGGGAGGTTAAAGAATGGAAACTCAAACATGAAGTATGTGAAATCGAAAAAGAAGTACTTCAAGAAGAGTTTGAGGAGTTGTAAATGCAGCTTAACAGCTTGCGCAAATCCACCAGTCATAGTTCTGTTAGGTCAAACCAGACGACTTATAAGTCAACTGGAAAGGAACCAATCAGAACCAAGTCGACCAGTCGGTCGGACCAGATGACTTACAAGTCAACTGGGAAAGAACCAGCTAAATCTAAGTCGACTAGTTCTAACACTTATGAAAACAGGTCTGGAGTTAAATGTCATTATTGTAATAAAAGTGGGCATAAATATTTCGGTTGTTGCTTTCATAAATCAAATGTGTCAAGATGGGTTTGGAAACCAAAAAATTCTGAACCGAGCAACACTAACCCACCAGGACCCTGCAAGCTTGGGTACCAAAAAAAAGTGATCATTTTGTCTTGAAGGAACACCACAGAGTAAGCCGCAATGGAAAATGGTATCTAGATAGTGCGTGTTCCAGTCATATGACAGGTGACAAAAACCTGTTCAAGGAAGTTACAAAGATCGATGGAGGAAGTGTAAAATTCGGAGACGATTCAAGGGGCAAAATAGTTGGCACTGGAACAATTCCTTTCAATAACAAATGTGACATTACTGAAGTATATCTCGTTGATGGCCTAAACTACAATCTCTTGAGCATAAGTCAACTCTGAGATGCAGAATATGAGGTAAAGTTTAAGAGAACAGGGTGTGCTATTGAAGATGAATCAGGTAAGATAATTCTTCCTAGAAAAAGGTATGGAAATGTTTATATACTTGATGGTTTTGAAAAGATAGATGGCCACATTTGCTTATCCTCTATGTCTGATGATCCATGGTTATGGTATAGAAGACTTGGCCATGCTAGCATGCATTTGATTGAAAAACTGTCCAAACATGATTTAGTTATTGGTTTGCCTAAACTGAATTTCTCTAGAACTCATATTTGTGATGCATGTCAAATGGGTAAGCAAACCAGAAATTCTTTCAAAAATAACGAAATAGTATCTACTTCAAAACCTTTGCAATTACTTCATATGGATTTATTTGGGCCTACTAGAACTGCTAGCATAAGAGGTAAGAGGTATGCTTTTGTTATTGTTGATGACTTTTCACGTTTCACCTGGGTAATCTTCTTGTCTCATAAGGATGAAGCCTTAAGAAATTTTGAAGTTTTCTGCAAAAAGGTTGAAAGAGAAAAGGGATATCTGATCTCAGAAATTCAGAGTGACTATGGAGGAGAATTTGAAAGCAGAGCTTTTGAAGACTTCTGCAGTGATCAAGGATACACTCACAATTTCTCTACACCACGCTCACCACAGCAAAATGGGGTTGTGGAAAGGAAGAACAGAACTCTCCAAGACATGGCAAGAACCATGCTACTAGAACATTCATTGCCAAACCATTTCTGGGCAAAAGGCGTAAGTACTGCTTGTCACATCCTCAACCGTTGCCTCATAAGGCCAATTCTGAAGAAGACCCCTTATGAACTCTGGAAAGGTAAACGTCCAAATATCAGTTACTTCCATCCCTTTGGAAGCAAATGGTTTATTCACAATAACGGTAAAGATAATCTTGGAAAGTTTGACCCAAGAAGTGACGAAGGTATCTTTCTTGGTTACTCGTTAAATAGCAGATCTTTTAGAGTCTACAATAAATGTACTTTATGTGTA